GATCACTCGACCCTCAGGCCTTTGGCTCGCCCACCCACCCCCTGTGTTAGTGAGTGGATGGCATTGGGGCCCCAATGACTGATGCAGAAGAGGACTCAGTATGCCCCCAATCTCCACTCAAAAGCCCCCGACTGTACGCTAACACCCCTAGCCCGCTTCCCGGCCTCATCCCCGCGCCCCTGTGGCCATTCGTCGGGGGCTTATTGTAGTGGCTCTCTCTCGCTCTCTCTCTCTCTCTCTCTCTCTCTCTCCTAAAATGTAAATAAAAGTGTTCACCGTGCCGTTGCGTGTGCTAGAACAAGTCATAGCTGTCATAGCTGCTGAAAGAAGTGCGATTACTGCTGCCATCCCCTTTCCTGCTGGAATCAATACTCTTGCAAATCTTACCATCACACCTGCAGACTTTCACTCGTTTACCGCTACCGCCGCTTCGACCACGCGAGTGGCACTACCAAGTCTCCTGTAGCGGTTCCAACTCTTGTCGCAGGTGGCACGAGCGACGGAGTGCGGGGTGCCTGGAGAAGCAAGCTTATGCTCTCACACTCGCACACAGGGTTAGGAGTTGACATCCGCCTGGATGGCTTTGAGGGGCTTCTGTCTGGATTTACCTGCCTGGTTGCGTATATGCAACAGGCATGCCAGCAACGCTGACAATCATACCATGTAGCAATCTTCACAGCTACCCGGTTGCATTCAATACAGGCATGCACGCCGATCACAATAAGAGCGTGAGAGTGAGAGTGCTTCAAATCCTGATTTGGTCGGAGTGCGGTTGGTTCCTGTAGCTACTTTGTCCGTGACGGGCCCGGGCCTGCGGGTGAGGGGCTGTGGGCTGGATTCATTGTTGTGTCTTGCAGCTAGAAATGTTGTGCAGAGCCTCTATATATATATATATATATATATATATATATTTATTTATATTTATATGCGCAACTCAAGACGCTGGACTGTTCCCGGATGTGCCGGACAACCGTCACTTTGGCTTTTGAAGCTTCGTCAAGCACTTCTGCCCCCATCGTTGGAATAATAGTATGCAGTCAGGGATCGGCTGTTAGTGTGGATGATGGCATGAACAGCCGCAAGTGCAATGATCCTGATGCTAGATCAAGGTTTGCTGGAGACCCAGTCGCTGACATACGGCAATACGGGAGAAACCTCTGAAACAGCTCCCAACTCCCAACACGTGGTGTAGCAGGCTGATCTCAACATCAACGCACCGTGAAAAAGATGGCATGAGACTGAAACGCCCACCCTCCCACCGGTCGGCCTGACACGCGAGGCTTCGGAGGAGCTGGTGCGGCCTGGTAAGCTAAGCAAATCACCAAATCTGCTAACCGAGACCATGTCTTCGCAGATTCCGCTCAAGGGTTGTGGTGCGACAGTTTGGGAGGCTGATGATCACTGGCTTTTCTCAGAGTGTTCAGGACATTTCAGGATGTCCAGAAACTTTCTAGACAAGCCTCAAAGCTGGCGGTTGCTGGCACATGCCAGGCATAAACAGCCCGAGTTCCACCTGCGATATCTGCAGCAGGCGCAGCCAAAACCGCCGATTCATTGCTTCCAGAGGTGCCGCTTGCAGTACTCGTCAGCCCAAGACGCCAGGCGGTGTGCAGCACTTCGTTCGCATGTGCTGGAGTGAACGGCGGTTTGAAAAGGAGTGTGACGTGGGGTACACAGTCTGGGTCCATCGGAAGACCTTCAGACTCCACGTTGAGGGACATGGTGAGAAGTGCATCCTCGGCATAGACGAGATGTCCTCCTCGTACTCTCCAGCTGGAGCCTTGCTTGTGCAGCGCCGCCTCCACACCGTGGCATCGAAGAGCTTCCAGGACGGCCCTGTAGACGACTAGAGGCAGGTACGGGTACAAGAGGGTATAAGTACAGATTCTACAGCTGAATCGGTACCTCCCGCGCCACACCCAGTATCGCGACCCCCATCGGCCCCTCCCCGCCTCGCACCCTGGCCGACGCGTTGGACGCCGAAGACTCTAAACTCTAAACGCTTATGGGCTTACGTTGCTGCGCCGCACCACGTATCGCCTCCACGCGGTCGGAAAATCTCAATGAGAACCCAACCCCCGAGCGGTTTTTGGGAACAACCAGGTCACCTGGAACCTCCCAAGAAGAAGGTTGTCATGTGCAGCGGTTGCGGCCAAGCGAAACTCGACTGCGAGCCCAATCGCAGGTTCCCAAGCTTTAAATCCTGTTGGCAGTGCAGAGGCTGCAGGTCGCCAGAATAGCGTGACCGGGCATTCAGAGGAGGGACGACAAGTGGCACTTGCAGCGTAGTCTCAAGTGCAGAGGCGAAGGCTCCAGCCAGTTGGGCAAGGCAAAGATCATGGGGTTCCAGGTTCAAGCCTCACGACACTAGATTGCAATGGTCTCTTAGATTATCATCCCTGCTGTATGCTACGATTCTTGTCGTCGTGGTGGTAGCAGCGACGGCAGCCGCAGCGAAGGAGACAGTACTTAACACCATTTTCTGTACCAATTAAAAATAAGCTCTTGTTTTCTAGGTGCTGGAAAGGCTTTACTGAGTTCTGGGCACAGAAACCCAGGTAGTGGGGTATCCGGATCTGCCAGCTTGGGCCTGAAGCCCTGGATGCAATGACGCGACGAGCGTTCTCGAAGTAGTGTCCATCTCCTCTCAGGGCCAGGAAATCGCCCTTGTTGAACTCGTGAAGACAACCCGACTTTTGCTCACTCCCTGCCTGCCCCGCTTTTGGGCGGGGTTGTTTGCACGTCCTCTTCTGGCTCGAAATAGTATTTCGGCACCTCTTCTCGAAACGACGGAGGGCGGTCTTTCGATCCCTTCCAGCTGCCCCATTTTGGCAAGTCAGCCTTCGGATAAACCGTCCTCGGTTCCCGCGAACCCTTGGAACCTCCCTTCCAGCTCGTGTCCCAATACCCAGCTCTGCCCAAGCCGGGGAAGGCATCTGCAAGCTGCAAGGCCTCTTCCTCTTCCAGGCTGTGGGATGTTGCGCTGTCTCCGGGAGAGCCCTGCACCACCTGCTCAGTTGCTGTTACCGGTGGGTCCTGCTTGGTGAACTCCGGCTTCGAGGCCTCCTGCTCACAACGAAAAGGGAACTCCTCCATGTCTTTACTGCATGTGTTTCGAAGCAGAAACAACAAACTGCTCAGAGCGAGCAGCTCCTGGGAGCTTCGCCGGGCTTTACGGATGCCTTTGTGCTGCAACGCCACAGCCGGAGGCACTGGTTCAGCAGCCGGGGACATAGGTGCTTGGGGCAGGGAGGTGCTGAGTACGAATGTATGCTGCATTGAAGCTGGCTCTGGATTGGTGCTGTGCTGACTCTTGCAGAATCTTCTGAAACAGTCTGCGTAGAGAAAGCCAGGGTGTCTTCGTAACAATGGTAAGCGTGTCGGACAATCGGCACACAGCATAGTTCATAGCTTCCCTGCCTCAAAGGAAAGTCCCTGTCTTCACTTATCTGCATGTATCGCACCTACTGTGAAGGCTGCATTTGGCCTTGGGCAAAAGTTGCGGCAGCGCAATCTGGCACCACAAGTCATTCATTAGATCCGTTGCCATCGCCGTTGGGAAGGCAGTCTGTCGAACACAAAGTACAACACGAACGTCAACATACAGCAACAATACCAGCCGCAACAGCAAGACCGACAGTAATCGGAGAGGCAGTAAGCACTAACTATAACCCAATGCCCATGGCAATCAACATGATGATAAATGTAAGAAACAGTAATGACGTCCCCCAAAGTCTTGTAGCACCTAACACACGAAGCTGAAGACTTCGCCGGCCTTGGCTTCTGAGGCTGCGCCGTCGCCGTTTCGGGGACTGGCCTTCTGCCGAAATGTCTGTCAAGTGCAAGTCGGCGTGACACAGAGCAAAGCCCCCCCGGGTTTGAGTTTGGGCTGTGCAGTTTGGAGGTTGCGCAAAGGGTCTTAGAGTTTCGATTGGAGTTTGCGGGATTCGGGTTCAGAGATAAGTCTATCCGTGACGCGCTGACTCCTACTTGAAGGCTGCCGCATAACTTTTACCCTCAGCTCTTTAACATAGTCTTTAACACCAACCTAGTTCTGTGAACAGGACATCGTGAAGGTGCAGCAGCCATAGTGGCCGCTTGGCTTTCTGGTGACCAGTCGTTCTGGACAAAACAGATCTGCAAACATATCCGCCTCCATGATCTCTCTTGTGATCATCTCCTTCAGCTCCTCGATGGTGCAGGTGTCCAAACTTTCCTGTCAACGATTCTGACGCTGTGCTTGGCATCGTCGCCATCTCCCAAACATGCAGTTTTCTCAGGATCTTTGCAATACTATTCTTTCCTACTGTGCGGCATCTACATCAGACAGCCCCGTTCTGAATGTTCTGTTCGGCCTGATGCCCATTCCCTGTTTACCTGAACCCGGGCTCCCGAGTGCAGGCTATACATTAAGCTAACTATCGGTTATGCCTGGCTGAGATTTGCATGCATGGCCTGCCATGTTCCGCATGCAGTGACCGACTTCGGTCCACATCTCAACTGTCATCTACACTGTAACCACCAACCTGCATCTCCACACCGTCTGGCGACAGCCCGGCAAAATCACCGACAGTTGAGCGTCGCTGTGGTATGACCTCGGGATTAGATGTAGTTTTTGAGCCCTGCTGGGCAAGCATGCGAGCAGACTTGCTCCAATCGGCAAGACCTGCTGTCTGCGAGGAGTTGACATCTAACTGCCTAGCACTTCGGCAGGTTCACCCCAGAAAGCCAGAAGCCAGAGCGCTCATCGACTGATGTGCAATAGCACGTCATGAAACAATGCCGTAATTTTGTAACGCTGGCCTCATTGGCCGTCGCACCTGTCCAGGACTAACAGGTTGAAAGCTTGAGCGATGAGCTGACTGCAACACTTCCCAGCAAAAGACCGATGCTTCACATGCTGGAAGACTTGCTATGTCGCAGCCTGCAGCATCGCCGCTTTGAGCCATGCTCTCCTGTTCAGCCAAACGATTTCCGCTCGATGCAAGATGGACAGGATATCTGCATCAGTACAGACGCCAGAGTCACTGACTGCCACTTACACACCAGAAAGTCTGAAGGGTCTGGAAACGTGCTTCCGAAACAAAACCTGGCAGGTACAACACCAGCACACCGACCAAGAAAAGGAAACACACCAAACGGATTCGGCTCGAACGAAAACATCTCCGACTCCCCGATCAACAGCGATTAGCTGAAAACTGTGGGCTCTGATATCGATTTTGCAGGCCAGCGTTCGCTGTGCCCGAAATCCTGAAATTCTGATAAACCAAACTTCAAAGCTCGCACCCCCTATTCAGCATGAAGTACTGGATCGCAAATGCCTGCTCCAACGCATCCGCTTGATATTGGCTGATCTGGGCTTAAACATACTTTTCTTCGAGGTGCCTCAGGATGTATGCCGTCCGAGTTTAGGGGAAATTCAACGGCATCAGCTCTCATGTGTCACATCTTTTCCCTGCGACAGAGGCACCGAAATGAAAAGGGAATAGCACGGACAAATACCTGCTGTTGGCAACTCCGAGCACATTGATGGTTGCGCACGACCTTGATCCAAGTCTGACGATGCCCAAGGAGAGTTAGGATGGCGATATAGGATTCGCGCATTGACTATATATGTATGATGAACTGTATACTGTATACATATATTTGCAGACCCATAACAAAATGAGAGCAGCTCTGAGCCTCGCAAACAGTCTCAGTAGCTGCGCCGCTAGGCCTGAGTGTTTCAATTCAGGATCTGCTTGAAGTCTTACCCATTGTCAGGGATCGTTCATGAGCTGGGCTCTGCAAGACGAGAAGCACTCCTTGCAAAAATCACAACAATAACCAAACTTAAAGGACCGGATACCCCCACATTAGTATGTCTTGCTTGTGCTGGTGTGTGTGTGTGTGTGTCTGTGCGTGGGTGGGGTGTTGTGGGTGGTGGACGTGTGGGCCGGAAAGGCGGGGCGGAGAGCCCAACAGAAAAATAGATAAACATGGGAACCCCACAATGATGTAGGGAACAAGAATACCAACGGCAACAACAACATTGGAGTGCAGCAACAACCACAACTACTACTGCTACTCCTACTTCTCCTCTTCCTCCCAGTCCTCCTCCTCGTGCTGCTGCTGCTGCTACGACGACTACTACTACTACTACTACTACTACTACTCCTACTACTCCTACTTCCACTCCCACTCCTACTACTGCTGCTTCTACTACTACTACTACTGCTACTGCTACTACTACTACTACTACTACTACTACTACTTCCACTCCCACTCCTACTACTGCTGCTTCTACTACTACTACTGCTGCTGCTACTACTACTACTACTACTACTACTACTACTCCTACTTCCACTCCCACTCCTACTACTGCTGCTTCTACTACTGCTACTACTACTACTACTACTACTCCTACTACCCCCTACTCAGCAATACTGCGATGGCTACGCCGACGACGACGACGACCACTACAACTACTACCGCCGGTACCACGACCACTACCACTGCCACTGACACTCGTGCTACTCTTGCTGCTGCTACTACCACTGCTGCTAGTAGTAGTACTACTACTACCCCTAATACTAATAATACTAACAATAAGGCTATAATGCTAATAAGAATAAATGCATAGGGCTGTATACATAATGAGGCTTCGACTACGACGACGACTACTACTCGGCACACCCTCGACCGAAACTTACTTAAGGGTGAGGCCGTTGAAGCTACGAAGACCATGTAACGAGCGGGGTTCTCAAACGTTTCGACAACCGCGCCTTGTTCGAGTTGTTGAATGTTGCTAGCATATGGCGTGTGGATGCAAATTTGGGGTCATGCGTTGAAGATCAGTCGCCAAGCATATGCGGCCAGAGCACATTGGCCGCTGCCAGCAGCTTGTCGGCTTCAGCCATCCACAAAGGCCACTTGGACTCATGCGTGTGCTGAGCGAGAGCGTTTGTTTGTGCGGCGTTCAACAACTCCTCCTCCTCCTACTCCGACTCCCACTCACTCCTACTTCTCCTTCTACGACGACGACTACGACGACGACTACTGCTACCGCTCCTCCCGCTCCCGCTCCCGCTCCTGCTCCTGCTCCTGCTGCTGCTACTGCTGTTGCTACTGCTGCTGCTGCTGCTGCTACTGCTCCTGCTGCTGCCACTGGAGCTGCTACTGCTACTGCTACTACTAATAGCGGCACTGGCAGCGGCAGTTGCAGTTTGAGTAGAGGTAACAGCAGTGTATCCGTAGCAGCAGCGGCAGCAGCAGCAGCAGCTGCTGCAGCCGCTGCCGCTATTGCTTTTGTTGTGGCGGCTGCTAGTGGTGCTGCTGCTGCTAGTGGTGGTGGTGGTGGTGCTGATGCTGCTGCTGCTGCTGCTGCTTCTATTACTATGGAGCTGGTTTGCCACCACTACCACTACTACCGTGACCACTGCCGCCACCACCACCACCACCACCACCACCACCGCTGCTGCTGCTGCTCTGACCAGCATGTCAAAAGTGATGCTGAACGAGGCCCTCACGTCGCAGTGACCACTGGCATGGGTGAGCCACTCGCGACCTGTACCATAAGCTAGGTTACCGGCTAGATGACTAGACTGGGCTGAGGGCGTGACTCTTGGATTGCTTTAAGTGTCGCAGACTTCCGGTGAAATTTCACGAAATCCCAGAACCAAGGTCTTCCTGCTGCTGTTGTCCCTACGGAGTCCTACCGCGGAGCTAAAGCATTGATCCTACTGCTACTCTGATGATGGTGGCGACGAGGTCGGTCTTCGTCGTAACACATTGCATGATTTGCCCCGTCAGCCTGGGCTGCCACAACTTCCTCATGGTCATCGTCGCTGCTGCTTTCTTCCTGGAAGTCTGCGAGGCTGGAAACGTAATTGCCACTGGCCGCTGTGTCACTGCATCACGTCTATGCACACCTGTGCCTGCCGATTAGACACAGCGGCTCGACTTGAAGGTGCGGTGCGACTCCGACCCACCAAAGGCCACAGTCCATGCAAAGCGCCGCTACATTGGAGGACTCTCGCAGCATGAAATGTTTGACTGTTTGACCTTTCCTGAAGGTGCCCATGGCGCCCCTCCTCTTCCTCACCCTCGGGCTGCTCATAGTCACCATCGCTGTCGCTGTCCTCTCTCGGAGACAACTGTCCATTGCAACAAGGTGTCGGGGCAATTGGGCTCGCCTGAACTTTCTCCCCGAAACTCAAAGCAAACCCAGAATCTTTGTTCCGTCGCCTCTGAGATGGCGGAGGAGTCCGAGGAATCCGAATCGTCCGAATCATCGGAGGAATCGGAAGCGAAGGGCGTAATGACCGGCCTGAGCGGGATTCATATTTTGATTCCGTGCCCTTACCGAGTTTTTCAGAGATGCGGTAAGTTTGAGGACGCTGTTGGTCGAAATGCCATGGTTTACGACAGAATTTGCTCGAGATTCTATCATATGGTTGAGAGATGAGCAGAGGCGGACTCTCACTCCTTCTGCATGCTGTTGCTGTCTTGCTGTGAACCAAGGTGGGCCAAAGGCCAGGCAATAACACAGCAATAACCTTCTCTCTCGCTCTCTGTTGCTGTCTCCCTTCAGTTCCACCCTCTCACACATAATAAAACATAAGACATTTTTTTTGGTAAAGGTTACTGCAGTTTCGCAGTACTTATGACGGCGAGACTGTAGCACTGTAGCACGAATCAAGACTGAGTGCGCCGAACATTTCCTAAGATCGCCACGAATCATGCCAGCACCAATACTATAGTTACGATAAGATTAAAATCTTCCCACTATTCTGCTCCCTAGTTTATCCTAGTTATGCATATGTGGGATGGAGCTAATGATGGCGGCAGTAGCCATCGTCTTATTCCTTCTTTTTCTACGATCAACGGCTGCCGTGATTAGTGGCATTCGTAGTGCCATGATATGCCTTAGCGCGGCACCTGTTGAAGGCTGCATCGTCGTCGCCTCCCACCTGAATGACAAATTGACATTCCTCCAAACCCAAGTTTCGTGCCACCTGCCTGCAGCCACGAACCAAAACAATTCCTTCTCGGCAGGGTCAATGCCTTTTGAAACTGGACTTGCGGACGACAGCCTGCCAAATTATTGAATGCTCCTCCCAAGCCCTCCAAACCCAAATATCCTCGATCAAGGCCAAAATCTCAGCCTCTTCCACAATGGGCGCATGGGCCTCTCACATAGGTAATGCGGGTTCCGGGCTTGACTGCTGCATGACTCTTCGTTTCAGTCTAAGCTTCCGCTTGGCTGGCCTGGGCATGTTGTGAAGTTGAACCCATTGAAATGTGCAAAGATCCGAATTTTCCCTCTCATATGGACCCTCCTTCCACCCTCCAACCGCCTGCAGCTCCGGGGCCTGCTCTGGAGCATGTGCTGCAATCCTTGGGCCCGAAACCCTACACTTTCCTAAACTCCCTAACACCGGACCTAGCCGGCTAATATGGCAAGATGAAGCGTTCGCGCGTCTGTGTCTCTGGCTCTGTTCACCCACTCTCTTGCTTCAAGTTTAAGGCAGGGTGTTCCCCCTTTACCGCCCCCCCCCCCCCCCCCCTTCCCCCCGAAGGGGACCCAACGTCCTGCGTCCAGCGCCAAGGTGGGCGGCTCTGTCGCTCTCTTTCTTTCGCCAGGGCTAGGGTGAAAGCGTAAACCTAGAGAGCCTCCTTCTCTCTCTCTTTCCCTCTTTTTTGTTTCCCAGGCTTAGAGGCATGCCTCCGCATGGAAGCACGGCACGCCGGTCCGCTTGGTGTGAGACGGGCCCCTTGGTTCGAGGAACTGAGGCTCCGAAGTTAGAAAAAATGGTGGAAAGGTGATGTGCCGTCCTCGGCAGAGCCTCGCGAGCAGTGATCCCTGGGTCCGGAGAACTGCGCATTACATCACGGCCGTTTCGTGCATCGTCAGCAACGGCAACAAAGCGCCATTGAATGCCCCGGAACGCAACACGAATCTCTTTCTTTCGCCAGGGTTAGGGGCTAGGGCTTACCCCCTTGCCCGCGCCATGTGCGCCCCCGACAGTTGCGAGTGCCAATAGCTGGGAAAAGAAGCATGCGCAACAAAAGGCTGGGATCGCGAAAAAAAATCACCCCCCGGCTTCATGTGCAGAATCCGTTTGCGCAGTGTGCTTGTTGTTCAGTGGGGTTAGTCCCCGCATGCTTTGGGCAAAGGCTTGGAAAGATACCGGCAAAAAGCATTATAGTGTAGACTGTGTGATGTAGTACAAAGCCTCAGGTCGCAGGCAGCATTCGAGGAATCTGGAGGCACCAGCGGCCCGTCAAACTAAACACTTCAAAGATTTAAAGGAAGGGGGTTTACGCCCAGAGAGGTATATAACGAAGTCGGAGCGAAAATCGATGCATGGACGAGAACTTGGATACACATGCATGCCGGTATCTAGAACGAAGTTCCGATTGCCGTTTCGACTCGACCCTCAAGAAAGAAAGCAGTTCAAGAAACCCTTTGAAGCAACCACCGCGGCAATCCCGGGTGTGATAGGAAAAGACTGAACTCCCGCTGACATTTGCCGTGCAGATACTCGCTATGCACACGCTCGATCATGTTGTTTGGTTTGCACGTTTTCGTGCCGTGGGCCGAGGAGTGGATTGTTGTCAAGGTCCTTTTTGGGTTGTCCAAGCCCTCGAGTGTGCACTTCCCGCAACTTGTTGGCACCCGCAACAGGCGGGGGCGCACTAGAGCGTGGTGGGGGGTCAACCCCCACCCCAGCCCTGGCGAAGGAAGGAGAGAGAGAGAGAGAGAGAGATTCGTCGTGAGAGCAAATATTTCCTTCAAGGGGGAAACCCCAAGAGTCTTTCGCTTTGCTGAAGTCAGACGGCATCTAAAGAACACCAGGTATCAAAGAACACCAACTTCCGAGGTTGCCCGCGTATGGGCTCATGCACGAATGGGCGTGCCCGCGATGCTAAGAAGCTACGACAACACCTCCGCCAACGGTTTCTCAACCCACTCTTTCAGATTGAGTATTGAACCCTGCTCTGCATTGGATGCACTGATATCTTGCCACCACAACCCTGAAGTAACGGTTCCAGGTAGCTCCCAAGGCCCACGCCCAATGCTCTTGGCTTCCTCATCCACGAGACCTGCGTCTGTGGCTCGCCTACTCAGTGAAAAATACAGAGGCCTTAAGTCTCACGTGTTCATTGTTCAGGCTTCTGTCGTAATGCGAAGGTGCTACAACACTGCATCGGCCCCAAGATGTTTCTTTGCATGGCAGCAAGCACGCACAGTTGACGTTAAAGGGCCTACCAGCGAGAAGAACGCATCTGCACTCCTGCCGACTTGGTACACCAGCGACTTGTTTCCTGTTAGATCTTAGGAGAATATCCTCCCCCACTACGGTGCTTGTAGATACCATTGCCCTCTCGCTTCTTCACCTCTCTTGCCACCGTGCTGCCTTCACCAGCAAGATCCGTGAATTGACGAGCACGGCGAAGCGACCTATCCGGACTGCGAACAGCGGACATGCAAGGACAACCAATAACAGCTGTAAAGACCACTTGGCTCAAGCGTGCAAACCTCGCCCAAGCCTGGCAACTCCCACTCCGTCCATCTACACACAGGTTCTGCCTGATGTGACGGGGCCCTGGCGACTTCTTCTGCTGACGGGCTTCCTGCTGGGCCTGTGTCGAGGGTCGTCTCCGAGAGGCTGTGGAAATGCTTTGTGTTTCTCAGCTAAGCGGAGGCGCAGAGGTGGACGCGAAAAACGCGAAAACTCGAAAAACGCGAAAACCGCGAAAAACGTACACACTCCCCGCACGAACGTTCGCGA